AAATTTTTCCAAATATCGTCTCCCTAGCAAGTTCATTACAAGGTTCTTGTAGGAGTACAGCACAATGGAGAACAAAATCATTTGATAACTAATGAGAGAGATCTTTTCGGTTATGAAAAGAAGTGATCTCACCAGTTTGTTCAAGATTCCAGACTCCACTATGGCAACTAAACACGATGAGTTGAGTTGAGCCATACGAGGAAAATTAAGGGGACTAAAACCTCAGAAAGCATTATATTTGATCGAGTGAAACATATACATAGAGGTCGATGCATGTCTAGTAGAAAAAAGACAGCAAATCACACAAAGCGGTTATTAGAACTCTAGAAATTTAAGGAAATGCAGCTGCAGTTATAGTTTGTTTCACAGGATACAGATGTAGAAGCAAAATGACTTGTCATTAGAATTGTTAAGGTTTCTCTGCAAGATTTCTGAATATCAAGGTTTAAATGTCTGCATAAAACAACGGCAGTTACAAAAGTAGGACTCGACTCTACGCAAGGCTATACTAGGAAAAGAGAGCACAAAGCTGCTATGCCGGAGATCATAGGAAATCAGCTAGAAAATACAGTACCATATGAGGCTGTCTCTGGACAGTAAATCTTCATCTCAGACTTCTTCAAGACATTGTAGTACAGTGATTCTTGCCAGCATTGTTCTCCTTCGCTGCACTATCAAGAGTTAAACAATTGGCTGCTTCAGACATCGGCATATCAAATCGAACATTTTACCGGTAGATTTCTCGTGCTTTCAAGTACTTATTTCAACGCCAGTTATGACAATATTGCAGCCAAAAGTGACATCATGGTTGATATCCGTCACTGGTAGGCCGGGGTGGGGTTGGATTAATATCGCCTACAGAACCGACATGGACAAAACAGAATGGTGATGACTTGCAAAATCATAGAACTAGACTCCTTCACAACAGAATCGACACAATGCAATGACTCATTCTAAAAGACACGAACCAGGTCCTCACGAAAAAACTAGAATATACTACTAAATCATTCCATGATGACCCGATTATGAAAAGAACTCAACCTACAACATCAACAACACCTATGAACATAAATTTAACCCAATACGACATCTAAATCAAATACTAGATAGTTTCCCCATGAACACAATACTCAGACGCGAAATTGACAGGAAAATGCAGTGTTCCATGAAAAATTCAATGATTTCTCCATATTCAATCATCACCATTAGGAAACAGAGTGAGAACTTTCCTTCCATTTGTGGCAGTGGCAGACTCCAAATCCTCCACACACGGCAGTGGCACCACGGAGGAACCATTTCTGATGTGCACCGGTGTACCCGTCCTTTGCACCTGCTGTTGTGACTGCCTCATAAAGGGATGCTCAAACTGCCCATTGGGTGGTGAAGTCCCAAAATGCCTAAATTGCTGCTGCAGCTGATGGTGGTGCGCCCCTGGCCCCACCACCGCCATCTGATGATGATTCTGCATTGCTGCCACCGGCAAAAAGGGGAGAAAATGGTCGGAATTTGGCCTGCTGGGATGCAGAAAATGAGCTGGCACTGGTGAGCTGGCGAATAAATGGTCCGTAGCGGGGTCTACACTGACGGCAGCCAGTGCTGCCGGAGAATTATTAACTCCAACACCGCCACCATTACTCGAAATTCCTTGCATCCGCTTCAAATAGAGCCTGTACTTCTGCAAATGACTAGCGACATTTTCTCTAGTGAGTCCATCCACACTCATGAGTTGCATTATGGTCTTGGGGACAGCATTTTTTATTCCCAAATGGGCCACAGCATCCACAAACCTCTTGTGCAGCTGCGGCGTCCAAACGAGCCTCGGCCTCTTCAACGTCCGTGCCGGTTCGTCTCCAGCCCCGGATCCCCCGCCACTGCCGCCCTCTCCTCCGCCGCCCAACTCAGTCGAGTCAAATTCCGCCGAGGAGTTAGCAGTAGATTGAGGAAACTGCGACGGCAGTGGCGCCACCGCAATTTGATGTGGGTTTCTAATATCGAAGGCTAGCGCTAGATCAGTCGTAATTAGAGATTGAGATAAGGGAATCAACTCATCTGGTGACGGCAGTTCATCTTCCCATTTAGCAAACCAATTCGAATCCTCTTCCCTCATTTTTTCCCTCTTTTCTTGTTGAACAGTATGTAGATTACAACGGGTTAATTTTTTTCCTCTGATCTTGGAGATAGCTCCAAGATCTTGTGAGATTAAAATTGAAAATCCAATTTGGAAGTGAAAATATGGGGGATGGAATTTCAAAGATGGGCTTTCATTTTTCCATTTCTCCTTCCTCTCTCCCTATCAAAAATGATGAAAAGATTGAATTTTTAGAGGAGGGTGGGAGAGGTGATCGAGGTGGATCTTGTCTTCTTCTTTTCAGCTTTTATTTAGGGTACTGTTACTGTGTGCTGTGATGTTTTTATTATCTGGGATTTAGGCTCTTTTTGCTGACTTTGAGCTGTTAAATTCTCGAGAGCGAGTGAGAGTCACTCCTAGAAAAGATTTTGGTTGGATTAATTTTCAAGTGAAAACACGTTTGATTTATTAGATACGAACACAATAATAATAATAATAATAATAATAACAACTAATATTGTATATACAAAAATCATAATGAGATCGTAAATCTTTATCGTATCTAGCAGGGTGTATCAGTTAAATTGTTATAAATAAACTATGAAGTCTAGCGCCAAAAACATATTCCGCCATTTTGACCTTTTAATTAGGTCTAGGCAAAAAATCAGAAAAATCGATCGAACCGAACCAACTCAGGTCCTTTCAGGTCGATTTGACATAGTTAATTGATTTAATTTGGTTTTATTTTAAACAAAACCATAGTGGGTCAGTTTGATCATGATTTAAAGCCTCAAATCATTAGTTACTCGACTCAACTAACTTACATATGTTTCCATTTTTTTGGTTTGAAAAAAAAAAGTCAAAATCGAAAGCTTAATGATGTTCTGCCGAAAGTGAAGGTGTCTAAGGTGCATCTTTGAATAATCTTGTTGAATACTATATAAACACTTTATTTTATGAAGACACTTTCACGGAAACATTGTATATTTTTTTTATTCATTTATAAATGTTGTCTTCTATAGACCATGTTTTTTAGCTAATTTTTTCTATATAGCATGTTTTACTTGTAATAAGTTCTCCTTCTAAAAATGCAGGTTGAGATAATGATTATAGACATATGGTTATGTATTAGTTGCAATATTGAATCTTTTTAATTACATGTTATGTTCTAATTCGTTAATTACATCTTACATGTTGTAAAAATGCATGTTGAGATAATGATTTTCATTATTTGAAGATTAAAATTTCAAAACTGTTTTCAATTGCTATAAATTGTAATTCGAACAAAAAAATTGTATAAATCAAGAACAAAGTTATATGTGCTCTAAGTGAGCACAAAACTTGAGGCAAATTTTTTAAAATCAATTTGGACAAAAGCTTAAACCGACTCACCATATCGAACTAAACCAAATCAAACCGATTTGGTTTGAATTGATTATGTTTAAGCCCCTATTTGAGTCACATTAAAATTTTCATGCTAATTTTTCAACTCATTTTCAACGACACATTTTTCAATAAAATAATATTTTTTGTCACATCAATAACTTTTATTTTTATTTTCAAAATAATATAGCTCAAACACGTCCTAAGAGATAGATTGGGTCTGTTTGGGTTGAAATTTACCCAAATCGACTAATTTGATTTTGATTTCGGGTTGGGATCGAAATCAACCCAAACCAAGTTTGCCCAAGCCTACTCTTAACATAACTTTGGTCGTGATTCTTTTGTATCCCTCTTTCCAAGGAATCAACCAATAAAACGAAGATGCAAGATGGATTTCTATTGAGTAAAAAATATATTTTATTAAGTTTATATTTAAAAAATGCTTATATAATATTTAATTATTCTAGCTTTAACTAATAATACACCACTTATTTTTTAGATTTAATTATTCGTAAGTACTTCTTAAGCTTAGAGTTTTGGGTTTGACTTTGATTTTATGCATTTGCTTTAGCGCGTGTGATACACTCTTCTGTGGGAGTTTGGGTACTTTGTATAGGGAATGTTATTGGGATTAGGGAAAATGTATTAATGAGCTCTAGACTTGTAGGAAAGGTAAAGGAAAAAAGTAGGGAAAGTGAAGGAAACTTTTGGTGAAAAAATATTAACCTTTTGAGAGTAATAATTTCATGAAATGCAAACTTGGCTACGATTTGATAATCATTATTTTAAAATTCTTAATTTTAACATGTCAACCCGATTTTTTTTATACTTTTCAACAATATATTCTCTAAAAAAATATTTTTCAAAATTCTATCTTACTCAACCAACGGTTGTCGAACAAGGGTTGTTTGAACCTCATTTTCTAAAAGTTTAGGATTCATTTGGCAAAATATAGGAATAAAAAATAAAAAAATTAATGACGAGTATAAGAATTTTTTTTTTCTTTGTTAATTTAAATATTTTTTTAGGTATTGTTATTTAACTAATCATTAAGAGCTTGAATTATTTTCATTTTTTAAGTTTTACAATTTATAATTTACTAGATTTATTTAGAATTTTAGTTTTTTAGAATTATATTTTTTAGGTTTTTTTTTCATTTTTTTAATTTATCATTTTCTTTTTTTTTTTGGATTTTTTTAGAATTTTTTTTTAGAATTTCATTATTTTTTTTAGAAAATTTAATTCTTAGAATTTGATGTAAATAAAATTTATTTAAACGTTTATTTTCCATGAAACATTATGGTTTTATTTCCTACAAAACAGACCATATGAAAAATTGGTAAGTAACTGACTTAAGTGTTATGGAATTAATATCCAGTTTTTTCATCACAACCTTGACATTCTTACTTTTTACGTGCCCCAGTTATGTTATTAATTATCATTTGAATTCTTTGGGTGTAGTTTATTGGATATCAAACTAGAGTAATTGGAGGGACGTGTGAATGATTCTGCAGTTTTTGAGCTTAATGGATCCTGCTCATCAAATTTTATGGACATTGATTTGATTAGGTCTGGATGTCTTGCAGATAAAGAAGTTGGTGGAAGATCAGAAGTTGACGGGGAGTTGATAATTAGAAGGTTCTGCAATCAGGGGAGGAGGATGTCATATCATCATTGGCAAATGCGCTCTGGGATACTATGTGGTCCTGGTCCTCCTGGATGCAGACGGAGAAACTTCATTCTGAGTATGGCTTCAATTTATCCACCTCAATCATGTGCACAACTCAAAGAGGAACTGATATCCGTTTGTCTATCCTGCAGTTTGATGTGTCTGTAAGATTGGAAGTGATTCTAGACTTACATAATGAAGTTCTCCTCTCTGATTTGCCTTTGTTGGTGAGAAGGGATTAAAGAGGACCAGATCTGTCATATTTTGAATATCAAAGTTCCCATTATATTTGTTTCTACATGCTTCCTTTCTTTGGTGAACTGTTTTTGTTCTATGTATAGTTGGGTTCGTGGAATATGATAAAATCTTGTTATTAAGAGGATTGGATTTTAGGAAAAACATGGGTTGTGGCTGGCCTTATTTACAAGGTCGAGTTGTGGATTTTCCTTCTCGTAAATAACTGAAGTGCAATGTTGGGAAAGCCAAAGCGACCTAAAATGATGAAGTCAAATCCACACTTCAAATGAGCCGGGGTTCAAGTTGTTATCAAATTTATAGCAGGTCCGTAGATATAAGCCTTCTACTTTTCCTGTGATTAGTAGAATGGTCTTTGCTTCAGTTGCTCAGATATCATGCTTTTACCTCCTTCACTGGGTTAGACGTGGTGTGGTGTATGTAGTCTGGTTAATAAGGACGAACAATTTCCAGAGAAGGTTTTGTGGTCTTTGCTGGACATATGGAGGCAGGGCTTGATCTTTAGACAGAGAGAGAACGTGGGGAGTGTATCGCAGCATTGACTACTGCAGAACCTCGCCTTCATCTAGGCGCAAGAGGTCTACTGACAAGCTTTCGAGTTGTGTGGCTTTCCACACTGTAGATCATTCAAGATCAAACCATTTAACCGTTTCTGGATTTTCTTCATTTCCATCTGCCTTTTTCTTTCATTGACTTTTCTTGATTGAATCTTGCGTGGGGATTTTCTGAGTTGCACTGAATTGACTGAACTCTGGCACTTCAGTATTAAACGCCGGTAAGCAACTGATTTTAAGTGTGATGGAATCAGGGTTCGGTTTTTATATACCTGGTTACATGATTAATTATTGTTTGGCTTCATTAGGTGTAGTCATTTTATAACAACTCAAGTAATTGGATCAATGGTTGCCGGTGGGTAAACATCATTCTGAGGTAAGTTCTCAAACATGTCCTATCACAAGAAGTGTGTACGAATATAGTTGTTCCTAAAACTTGTGATTTCGATTCTAGACTTGCATAATAAAGTTTTCTACTTCATTCTAATTCCCATTTTATTAAGGGTATATCTTAACCAAATACTTGTCGGATGCTGGAGTGCAGTGGGGAGCAGCACCTGCTGTTAAAGTGAGGAATCGATTTCTAATCATAATTCTTTTTGTATCATCTGTAGAGCTACTGGCTGCTGCATGGCTCACGTGGCCCATTTTTTTGTGTTCTATCATGTACATGTCCCTGCCTGCGAGTAGGGACTTCTCTAACTTTTGTATGGTTAAATTGATTTTTCACAAGAATATTTGTTCAAATTCTATACTTCAGTTGTGTACTCTTTGTCCAGTGGCTATTTTACTTGAAGTTTGTTCTTCATACCAGGTTTTTGGTGGTTGTAAGCCTCAGTTGGATAAGATTCTTGGTATTCTTGTTGAAGGCCACATCGATACTTGTCTTGGTATTTTCCATGAATATGAAACCAAAAACCTAAAGGCATGGGACACAAATGGCTTTGTCGGCTCATGCTTGAGGTGGGTAGATGCTTCACTTTCCTCACTTGAATTTTCTTGGGAACAAATATTTTTGGGGAAACAGTTTTCTAGTCCTGGTTGTGCTGCTTCTGTCTGGTACTTCTGCTGTATAGTCTGAACCAAACGACTAGCTTTAGTTCATGTTGAGGCACTAGCCAAATGGCTAAAATGCTTAAGCTAATTGTTTCCTTGAATGTTTATGCAGCTTGAATATTTCAACACCATATTGAATCCTTATACTTTACTCGCGATGCCAGTAAATCTCTGAAGTCTTTAAAAGGCGTTCAGTTGGAGAAAGCTACAGAAAGCATGACAGAGTCTGTAGAGACTCCATGTCGTCAGCGATGTCCTACCCATGGAAGTGACGACGTGTTTGCAAATGTTCATTTCACAATAATAAGTGAAACTCTCCCTTGCTTTCCTAAAATGTTTTGATAGTTCCTTCACATCATAATTCTTTCACAAGAAAAATAAGGAATGTTATATTTTGTGTGTAATTAAATTATACAGTAAAGTAACTAGGTATAACCATTATTAATTCTTTCACGTCATAATTTTTCCATAATCCTTTCATATTTTCAATCATTATCATCAATATGCATCGTCAAATTTTTTTCCCAGTAGATTAGTCACCATTGTTTTGAATTCAAGAAAAAAGAAAAAAAGAAACTTCCACCAAAAAAAACTCATTTATTTGTTTTAATAGTCTTGATAGAAAAGATAGTCATCAATGTTTCAATTCAAGAAAATCAAGAAAAGAAAAGATAACTCCAGTAGAAAACTGAAATAATTCGAAATGAAATTTCTTACTAATACGACTTGAATTCAAAAAGCACATTATTAAACCCCCATTTGATAACCATTATTTGAAACTATTTTTTCGATATATTCATTTTCAACTATATGTTCATAAAATAAAAAAAATTTCACCTAAACTCAAAACTTTTTCCTATTTTTTAACTTCATATTCTCTTAAAAATCAATGTTCAAAACAATAAACCAAACGCACCCTTATTTTTTTTCAAACTCATTTTCAATTCAAAATAATTTTGAATGTAAACCAAATTTTTTTTTTTCTACTTTTAACCACTCATTATCAAAAAAATCACTATTATAAAACTTGTTTTCACAAAAAGGCCCAAACATAGCCTAAATAAGTAGCACATGTAAATTTGAAATTCTTGTTACACATTGATTGAATAAAAAATAATATTTTAATAACTTTTAATGTTAGACGAACATAAGCGATATTTATGAGTACTTGTTCGTGGATTCATATAGACTTAACCCATGCCCCCAGTTACGCACCAAATTTGAAAAATTAATTATTAAAAGAAAAAAGACGCTTCAGTTGCAAAATATTAAGTAAAATTTAAAGGCAACCTTGCTTCTCGCGGTGATAGTCGAAGTCAAAGTTGGAGTTTTTTCTTCAATGACCCTTCTCCAGCCTTTTCCTGTTTCATGGACTCGTCTTTCTTAACAACTTCTTCAGTATCAGGACTAATGTCGATAATCTCTTCGGGCTTTTTGGTTTTGACAGTGTCTTTCTTCTGAGCCCTATCTTTCTCAACAATTTCTTCAGTATCTGGACTAATTGCGATAATCTCCTCAAGCTTTTTGGGTTTGATAGTGGCTTTCTTCTGAGCTTCCTTCCTTCCCATAGCTTTCTGATTAGGTAGAGCTCCATTTGCCATAGTTTCCTTCTTGTTTTCAGCTGCTGCATCCTTTGCATTAGCAACTAATTGCGCAAGAAAGCTCCTGAAATAACAAAACATAAAAATCAAATACTATTAACCAATATAAGAGAATAACACATTAACTGTTTCACAAAATGCAAGAGAATGATTGAGAAACCTCGTAATGGGGCGGGAGACCTTAGGAACTGGCTTTCCCTCAACGCCAGGAATCGTAATCCGTTTTCCAATGTTGGTAAGTGCAGGACGATTCTTTCTTTCTGATGCCATGCTCTTCTGCTTAATGCCCGCGAGAACTGCCTCGCCTATTAAATTTGTCTAGAGAAATACAGATTAAATAGGGAAATATCATCAGGAAACAAAACCAGGGTACGTAGACTTGTAAGAAAACCAGAAGAATCCAAAGAAAAGTTCAAATTTCAATCCAATGTGAGAAGTTCAAATCCAAAATAATGATCAAACAATGAAAACAAATATAAAATTTTGATCGTTTCTATTATCTCAAACATAGAGAAGTGATAAATCAGAAAATGAAAAAAAATAGAAAATCAAATCAAAGGGGTACAACAAACAAAGATCAAGAAAATTACAAATCAAGATAAACAACTAAAATACCAAAATATGAAGCACAGAAATATAAAGAATCAGATCACATATTAAGCAAGAAAAGTTAATGCGTGAGAGGTTTTTGATAATTATTTGTGTATCAGTGTATCCTCCGGTTATATTTAAAATACCTCTGTTTTCCTGTTGATTCATCAGTCTTGTAGCCGTGTCAAAACCTTGAAAATCTTCTTTAAATCCTTTCTTCTTTGCCTCTTCCGAAGGATATTCTTCAATTCCGTCCCTCCCTCCCTCTATAAATCTCTCTCTCTCTCCCTCCCTCCCTCCATTTATCGTAGGATTAGTGGTCAACAACGGCCTTGATTGTGTTCCCTTATATGGCTAATGCACTTCGTGAGTGTTCATTCAAACTTCAAGTTTTTTTTTTCTTTTTACTTGCCAAAGGGTGATTATTGTGATCAAAGGGTCATTATTGATCAATGTTTTAAAAACCGTATCGACATTGATGAAAAGATAAAGATTCAAAGGTTGAATTGGTAAAAAACATCAAAAAATAAAATAAAGCAAAAATTTGAAATGCATTAGTCGGTTTACAAGGAAATTGTTCTTGTGTGAATCGGCGACTCTCAGAACTATTTGATCTTTTTAACTTTTTCAATTTTTTACATATATTTTGATCTATTTAGTTTTCACAGTATTAATATCTATAACTATTAGTAAGTCACCAATGGACACCATCGGATGAAAAATGGTAAACAAAAACCATGCCTAGAACATGTGCATCTTATTTGAATAGTTGTGCTTGAAAAAATTATACTTTGATTGCACTCTTTACAATAAGATATTATCGTCTGGACCAGCAAGCAAGACCTGTCAAAAAAACATCTTCAAAGTTAAAATAAGTTACTTTGTTTACAACTAAGAAAAAGTAGCATATCCAAGTAGGTTAAAAAACAGAAATTTTCATAAAAATAAGTTTAAGTTACTTTTAAACTTAGCCAGTCTGCGAAAGACTAGCTGTTTTCAGGAGAGTGGGAGAGTATATGGTAGCTAAAATTAAAGAAAGCAAAACTAACTGACGTTGCAGTCGAGTGCATTCTTCCTGGTAAGAATAAGGGCTCCATTTCTTTCCCGTTCGGACTCGAAAACTAGAACGAATGAATATCCTTCTCTAGCTTGCCAAAATATTGATTTTGCTGCAAAGTTGCCTCCTCCTCTGAATCCACACAGCTGAGACAAATATCCCCAAACCCGGCTTGTTATTGCATTTCCTCTATGTATAGCAAGAATTCCATAAAGAATACAAATTCAAGTTGGGTCTGAATCACTGAAAAGAATAGCAAATCTTTGTGAAAACAATCCAAGTACTGTGACACCCAAATCTTTTTGTTTTAGGTCTCCATATTTCCTACTCCTGTGAGTGGGCGCGAGAGATAGGATAGAGGGTGTCAGGTCTCCCATTGTAATACTTCTTCTCGATTATAATAAAAAATTGTAGAAACGAGTGGATATAATCCTCACATTGAAGGTGAATTAGTTAAATATGTGTTCTTATTCGTTTCTGATTTTCTTTTTCTCATTTTATTGTTGCTCTTGGAGTGATGAATTTAAGGCACGGAGAGTATAATGTTAATGATGATCTCACATCCTTCTCAATATATTCATTGATACCTGCATAGACCCAGAATAAGACTCTCTGGCCTTCGTCATCCATCCTTTACTGAGCTTTATCCTAGTTTTGCTGACGTGAAACAAGTGCACTGAATGTGACGAATAATTCCGTCCATTCATCTGGAAGATAACCACCTGCAACACAAACTATTTTCAAGCTTGGTTTTCCATTGAGTAGGGCTATTCCACTTCCAGCCTCTGGTTTGTCCAATTTTTGTTATAAAAGGCTGGATATAAAACTCGGGACAAATTATTTGTCTTCTGTGGGATGTGCTAAAAAGGATAAATCACATACATTGAAGTCACTGTTTGGCTTTTGTAAAAGCGTCTCCACAAAGCACCCCAAGTCAGCAGCTGTAAAAAAATAGAAAATAAAAAAAATCAATCAGACGGTCCTCAATTTATTCATAGGACTAAAAAGAACAGCGCTAAGACGAGCATAAAAAGCTACTCTACACATCACATCGGGAACTTCTCTATTCAAACTGATTCTCTATTTCGATCCTTGTATAGACACCGTAATTTACAAACCTTGATTGATAGGACCAGAAGTTGTTACTGAGACCTTTTGACCATTTGAGACTATATCAACCTGAAGAACTCGTCCAACGTCAATGGGCTCTGGAGCATATACGAACTTGTTGGCACCTGGCACAGCAAATTGCATACATGCTGAGACGAAAAGATATGGAGAAGACTGTAACAGAGGACAACAGATTGTTGAGAATAGAAGCAATAAATGAATTGAGATGGAAAATCGTCGTTGAAATGAACATGAAAGAAAACTGAAAGAAAGAAAGACGAAAGAGAGAAAACTGAAAGAAAAAGATCGCAAGTGGAACGGTAGTTTAAGCAAATAAACATATAATTCTATTTATGCCTAGTTGTAATATTGGAATTCTGATAAACAAATAATTAGATTAAACTGTAAGCTACAAAAGGAAGAATTGATACCTGAAACAGGTTCCCTGCGGCTGCACTGAGAAGACAAACGATACCATTGAATCAAACATTTTGAAAGCTCTGTTGCTTCGTCCGAGCAGGACTGAATTCTTAAAATTGAACCTAATGTTTCAGAGCCAAATAACTCATACAATCGGGATTTGTTTTCCTCAATTCTCTTGCTCATTGCCAACTGCAGATTATGAGGACAGAAGTCTTGGATAAAGCTGAACAAGTTAAAGCGCAAATGTCCTACATATGCCTGTCACTGTAAGAATTACACGACTCTCTTAAGGAGAGAGATTTTTGAGGGTTAGGAAGAATTGGTTATAGAAACTCAGAGCCAAAAGAAACACAAGCCGGACAATCAGAGAAAGGTTTACGTGCCATTATCAACAATCTTGACTTGAGATATCATAGGCACAAGTGAGACTATTTTCCTTCGAAGATGAAGTAGAAAAATGGAATACCTCTTTTTTAAGATTAAATGAAATTTTACACTTCTCTCTAATTTGAATTCTCAGTTCTCGGAGTTCATGTTCCATGTCCATCACCTACAATAATTAAGTCTCAAAAACAAAAGATCGACCAAGAATCAATAGCAGAAAGATTCAACTTATCCAGCACCGATTAATGGAATACACAACAATACAACTCTAATAAACCGAAAATGCAAGTGTAGAAATTGAAATACAATTTTAACACACCTTGCTAGGCTGATGCATTACTCTAATTCTTCTGGCCAGTTGAACCTCCTCTATTAGTTTTTCCATTTCCTAACAGCAAGAAAACTTTAGTCAAAGGCCTCTATCATGCAGGAAAAAAATATGCAGCGTCCATAGATGGAACCAGAGAAGGATTTGGGATACCATATATATAAAAAAATAATAATAATAATAAGAGACAGATTTGCAATGTTAAAATTTTTTGATATTTTAGTTGGGTACAGAGACGCCTTCTAGCCATAAGAAAAGAAACCGATAATTCAGGAAGGTTTGAAGCCAGTAAACTTCATCAGTCGTGTATAAAACAAAGAAAACTCAAAACTTGAAAAAAAAAAAAAAACTTAGTTGACACACTTGGAAATGGAGTTTGTATTTGACAAGATAAAAAAATAAGTGAATCTTTGAAGTCTAACTCAACCTGCTGCTTCCCTGAGGATTGGGAGAGTCTTTCTTGTTCCTCAAGGGCCTGTGCAATATTTTGCACAACTTCTCTCGCGATATTAATTTCAGTACAAGCAAAGGACTTTTCTTGGTTAACCAATTTTTTAGCATCTTCAGAAGCCTGTAAAGGAAAATAGATTCAGGTTTCTAAAAAGAGAAAAAGAAATTAAAACAAAAAAAGACAAACATGAACAAAATAGTCCTGCAAGTTATGTAGTTTCATACTACTAAGCTAAATTTCAGCTACGGTGAATAAAATATCAAAAAACTATATAACAAATGTCACATCCACAAGCTTGGATCTCTATTCTACATAAATAAAGAGGCAGGAAGAATGAATAAGTTTTAGATATGCACGTGTATGGTATAAAGAGAAAGGCAGATGGAAAAGGAGTCGAATTTACAAGACCTGCTTGAAAAAGTTCGCTAGCTTTTTCAGTACAAACTTCTCCTGAACTAACTCTCCTTCTCTTTGAGTCAACTTTACTGCCAAAGCTTCGACCTGCAAAACAGAACAAAGAGCACACAAGCACTGTAATGCACGTTTCGTGGGAAGTAAATCAAAGACACAAAGATACATAGCTTCCAAAAAAGTTACTTTCAAGTAACTTTTAAGCTTAGCCAAACATGCTAATGTACACTCTCGGAGTAGTCACCTATACATATAAAAAATGACAGGTGTTTCAGTTTGAGAAAAATCAGTTCTTTTTCTTATCAGTTTTGAATATAAAACTCTAGGAACCAACAATTGAAACCCCGATCAACCCCGACTCCTGTAAGCTCTAGTTAGCCGGCCCTCTTTAGTCCACGGTTCTAGTTAGTGACTTTTTTGACGAAATAATTTCTTTATGGTTCCATTAGTTAAGATCTGGTGAGGGACAAGAGATAAAAACTCATACAAGACTGAGTCTTCCAGTATTTCTCAATTTGTTTTGTGTATGAAAGCATAAAGTAAGTAGTCAGTATCTTACTGTAGATTCTTTTAATAACAGTCACTATGCAGAGGGATTTCAGTTCATGAATTAACAGAAAGGGACATTAAATCGGATAGACACATTATACTGACCATAGAAATGGCCTTCCCCACTTCTTCTTTGTTTCGACTAGCCAATCTTCCCTTCAGACATTCCAATGCATCCCTGAGCTTCTTCAGAATAACATGTCCCTCTAAGGAAGCCACCTCCCTAAGTTTAGCCTGAATTCCACGAAAAAAATTTGTTTTTATGGTTATTTTTCATCAAAAGTCAAAACTTTACAAGTTAAATAAAATCTCGAATCATGAAGAATAGCAGTTTAAGACCTCATCAGACAACTTTTCTGCGGCAGCCAAATTCTTGTCAAATTTTCTGACCAAATCTTGAACAGAAAGGCGCTTATGTTGTTCTGTTAGCTGGTTCTTTTCCTGAAGAACTACCTCCTTCAGGGTGAGGCCTCTACTACCCTCTTTGATATCCTCTAAAATTTGATTATCGGGCCCTAATTTATATTTGGGAAACTGAGTAGATAGGAAGTTTGCATCAACTGATACAGGCTGAACGCGCTGCACCACGTCTTCAAATTCTGGACTCACCCACGTCATTTGCAGTTCTATATTGTGCTACATCGAACCAAAGATAGACTTGATGGAGAAAAAAAATTGATGATATAAATAAAACAAAGTATAATGCAACAACTCTAAAAGATAATCATCAATCAACACTAAAATCTAAAATTCGTGTTACTTGCCCACTCATTCAGCAAGAATACATATCGTAATACTAGAAGGAAATGGCAATCTGAATCCGTTGCAGCTAACAAATGAATTGGGACAATCATGACTATGATTCGATGCGAAAAAAGAAAAGGAAATCAAAACTCAAAACAGAAAGAGAAAGAGAATACCAAGAAAAGTTTTTTATTGGCTAATGTATTTGTTATCAAATGCCACAAAGAGAATGATCTCTGGATATGAATATATGAAGAATCTGTTAAGATAAATAACACTGCACACAGAACAAAACTCAAATTTAGAATCAGAATTTCAATTCAAAAAACAGAAGTAAAAGAACAAAGAATAAATGAAAAATTAACCTTTTCAAGCCACACCTACCAATGTAATCAATAAATGGAAAATTAAATTCCATCTGTTACATCTTTATAAGAAAATCTTGATTTGTAATTGCCATGTGCAACTCCAAGTCTATCAGTCAAATCATGCACCCCAAAATGTATTAATTTTAAAGAAAAATAAATAAAAACTCTGCATTTCATCACAAGCAAGGGAAGATGCCATTCTACATAGCTCCAAAAGCCAAAAACGTAAAAATGAAAAAAGAAATGCAAAGTTGAATTTCTCCTAGTTTGGTCACTAGAATTTAAATTAAAGCAACAAATTAGTAAGAAATAAAATAAATGGCGGAAGCCCGGATGAATACTGTGAGAAGTGAGGTGATAAAAAATGATACAGAGAATTAAGAAAATGCAGAGAATAAATACAGTTGGAGTTCTTCTTCAAGAACCAAATTTTAGCCCCCGTTTGACCACATTATTTTTTTCATTCTCATTCTTCTACTCATTTTCAACCACACATTCTTCAATAAAATAATATTTTCCATCACATCAATAACTTTTTCTTTATTTTCAACCACATATTCTCCATCACATCACTTCAAAAAAATGCATTCTCTCATTTTAATGTGCACCAAACAGGCTCTAAACTATGTTACTTATAAAAATGTAGTTTTAAAAATATTAAAGTATGAAGGATGACAAAATAGGCTAGAATTCATTAGGTGTGTGTTTGAGCCACATTATTTTGAAACTATGTATTATGGAATAGTAAATTGATGGAAAATGTGTGGTTGAAAATGAAAAAAAAGTTATTGATGTGATGAAAAATATTATTTTATTGAAAAATGTGTGGTTGAAAATGAGTAGAAGAATGATAATGAAAAATATAATGTGTACCAAACAGGGGCTTAATTATTTTTATACTAAGAAAAAATTAACTTTATCTGCAAAATAGTAAAATTCAAAATCTTCAGCTTTTATTTTTAAGAAGTACCATTTATTTTAGAATTTTACATAAATGCGCATTTGGATCTCCACTTAGTCCAACGGTCTTCATAAAACCCGGATGAATAATGCTGAATATACACATTGGTGTACATTCAGTTTGACAGCCCCCTCACGTATCGGCGGAGCTCGCGATTTTTAAAGTTGCGGGCCCCACCCCCTATGTGAGAGAGTTATCACCCATGATGTACACCGATCCAGCATTTCCCATACCCGGATACCTAAGAATTTTAGTAATTTGAATTATCTTCATAATAATAAAAGATCTGCAAATTTGTTCTATAAGCAAAAAAAAAAAAAAAAAAAAAAAATTTAATGCCAGAATTGTTTATGCAAGTCATTATTCATTTATTCTACGTTAAGCTATCATTATGAAATCAGTTAGGGACAACTACTTGTTAAGACTACGGATTCAATCATCCCATGATTAACAAAGATATTTTTTTTTTGATAATTAAAAAAGTTATATTTTTTTGTCTCCCGAAGAAATTTCCCCCCTAAACTTTAAGACAACTGAAAAAGTCGAGCTAACAGAGAATTAGGAGGGTTTGGTGGGGACTAATTAATACAATTTCTTATAATGATAGTCGGATTAGATAAAATTGGCCGATCCCTTTCGGTTTAAAAATTTAATCTAAAAGATATCTTTCTCATTTAACAAAACATAATTTCATTAAAAAAGACGTACCCAACTCGATTAGTCCCATTCGACTTTACAAGAGATCCAAACTTGACACATCCGTTCACAACATTAATTGTTGATTAGGCAATTTATATCCCATATGTACATATTATTGCATTAGTGTGGATTCACAATGTAAACAAATTAAGTCTTCCATCTTTCACTATACAAAGTCAAATTTGGGTGTCGACTTTAAGAAAGAGATGGTAATATCATCGAATCTTTACTCTTCTTTTTCTTCTTTTTCACTATTTAATTTCGACCTGTACCGTGTACTAATCATGCATGTAGGAAGAGTTGGTTTGGAAATTCCTGCAAGCAGCCAGCGAAGATCGGGGAAACGGGAGAAGAACGGCTTTGTGCCATTAGAATCCTTTTCTGCCAGATAGCCTTGACCTCGCTTCCCGGAAGAATCTCCGGAGCTTAGAAGCACTCTTTGAGACTCTGCCCGCCCTTATGAGAAGGAATGCCTCTTTGGTCCCTTTTGTTGGGTGTATAGATTATGGTTTTTGATCCACCTATTCCCTACCACCATGAATTTAGAGTTGGACCATTTGGAGTAACAATTTTCGAGAGGTACACACAACTAATTATGACACAAAGAATTTAATTATACATGTTGAAGATAGTTGGATATACCAACTTCGATTATGTTGAGCACATGGTTGTCAAGAAATCAACATTAGAAAATTTAAAGAAATGCCACAAATTCTTTCATTACTCTCGAATTTAATTATTTATGCAATACATAGCACTTATTTAATTAAAGTTATTTTCTCTATATTGAATTGATTTCTTCGATAAAAAGTCAAGTGGGGTCAATTTCAAACGAGTGCACCAACTATGTGCTCCATAATCAATATATCCACCAACTCGTATGTAAGATAGTGACACTAATATAAATTGTACAATAAATTTGTTCACCTAATTAAGTAAATTGGGGATTGTTTAAATAAATTTTCTACGCTACTATTTCAAGATTTAAAGTTATTTATACGAGTAATAAACATGGGTTTGATCTCTTTCATCATCGAGATTGTCATTATTGCATTTTAAATTATGACGAACATCGCTAAATTCACGATGTTTCGTCTCGTTTTGATCACTAGTAATGGCTCCTCACAAGTGGCAAAACATACTTTCTTATGGGGAAAATATGAACAATAATAAAGCATGTAGTTGTCTAATTATAACTATAATCACATATTTTAATTTGTAAAATCGTGTTTACATAATAATTCACGTTAGTTTTGATCATTATTCAATCAACTGAGCAAGCTAACATCAAAATGAGTCCAAGTATTAGAAGATTTTCAATTTTGTGACATAACAGAATGGACCCGAAACGTGTCATGTGACAATGATGGGTGCCAATTGTCAGCTGGCATCAAATCCTCCATTAATGCTAACTTTGACAATATGGAATCTACTAAAAATTTGTCAGTCTTTCCTCGTAACAATCAGGCTACATCAGAGTCGATCCCCGAGAATTTTGAGACTCTAGGTGACTCATTATATGAAACCCTTATACGTATTTTATTTTTTTGGCAAGTGTACATATTAAAATAAACAATATATCTATATTTTAAACGAAGACTTGGTATAATCCAAAAAATAGAGTAGGTAAAATAAGTATCTCGACAAATTGAGAGACTAGGGTAACATAATTCTTAAAACAATATTCCATTGATAGAAAAATATTATCAGTGTGTAAATAATAATCTCTAAAATTATTAATCGGGAAATATATATTTTTAGAAGATAATGTGAAGAGTTGGGATTATTTTGTGATGAAAAATAAAACTAGATTCTAATGATATTGATTTGAGAACCTTTTAATAAATTTGAGATTTTGAGGGACTAAAGTTTTGAGATCAATAATATATTTAGATCAAATGTGTATTTATTGAAGGATCGAGGATTACTCTATTAATATTTGACTCATTTCAAAACTCGTAATAAATCACACCTTATGAATTGGAGAAAAAGCTAATGTGTAATATTAGTTTCCAAATTAAACCATAATTACCGTAACAATATTGAGCTCATTTGGTAGCTTGTAATTAATTATGTTTATTAAACTCGAGAAAAAAAATTGGAATAAGATTGAACTTAATTAGAGTCGACCAAAACAAATATATTTATACAAATTTTTAAGTAGTAAATAAGTAATTTAATTGGGCCTCTATTTCAAATTGAGGCTCCCTTCACATTTGAGGCCCTAGGCCATTGCCTAGTTGGCCTACCTTGGGCTACATGTATAGAGAGATCGTACGCATTGTATTAAAGGGAGACACGTGACTATCATTCATCAGATCTTGAACAAAATACAGTTTTGCCCCTGCCAATGTAGTATTGTCAGCTGTCTCCCCATAATACTTTTTTTTTTTTATAACCGTGGATGTCCGGACCAACTTGCGCGCACCTCGACTAATTCCACGGGGCCCTGAAGTTTACGGTCGGGTACTCACCTCAGTGGCTCTGAGGAGACTCAAACTGGTGATCATTAGGGAGCAAACCCAAATCCTGATCAATTGAGCAACCCTCAGGGTTGTCTCCCCATAATATTTCATGTACAATATCCAAGTATAAGGATATAAATCCTCCTTGTAAATTGTACTAAACCAAATTTGAAATGCAACATGAAGGGAATAGTTGGCACAATGATGCAACAACCAATGGGTTGAAATTGTTGGCCCAAATTAGCTGAATAAATTGGTTTTATTATTTGGTGCAAAATCGTGTGATGATTGAATGAAGAAGTCGTGTTTCTACTTACACTGTTTTTTGGACGGCCAGGATGTAGCCAAGAGCAATCACCACAGCCGTAGGATGAAGGGCACTTCTGGAGACTCCTATAAAAGGCTCGTCTAGGGTTTGAACAGTTGAC